TCAACTCGACCCGACCTGAAAATATGTACCCTCCACTAGAACTAGATCTGACTCGAAAAAAATATATCCTACACCAAACTCGATTTAAATTTTTAGAGTATAAATCCGATCCGATTCGACCTGGTATAATATAAGGACTTAATTAAAAAATAATAATTTTTTTTTAAAGAAATTACATTATTATCTGTAGATTGGGTTGGATCGGAATTTTTTCATCCTCCACTTGAGCTTAACCAAATTCAACCTCACTCTCTTAAAAAAATTGTCCCAACCCGACTCGAACATGAACTTTTTTTATAAAAAAGAATCGACCCTATCGAATTGAGTCGGGTCGAATCCATTGGTTTCATATTAAATTATCATCCTGGTTAGAGATGCTATTTGTTCAAAGTTCAAAATTTTGCTTTCTAGAAACTGCTATACTCGCTTTTAGTTTCAAATAGCACATTTTGAGATTTTGTTTCTCTTAGCGCATAAAGTCTTAATTCAAGTAATTTGTATAAAATTAAGTTCACACTTCATGCAACAAATTTGATCCATTATTTATCTTGTTAAGAGATTGTGATGGAATTTTGGCATCTTAATTTTATGAAATTTTAACATCCTAAATTTTGTTGTTCCAAATAGAAATAACCAAAAAATTAGGGTAAATTATGTGTTTAGTACATAAACTATCAGTTTTAGTCCGTTTTAGCACCTGGACTTTCATTTTTTTTAAATCATACTTGAAGTTTAGTTTTTTTTTTCATTTTAGTACACTAGTTCAAATTTCAACATTAAGTTTTGATTTTTTTTAGAAGTTTAGGTACTAAAACGGACCCAAATTGATAGTTTATGTGTTAAACGTCTTAAGTTTTTAACGGTTAATTACTAAAATGAAATGAAAATTAAATGTTAGGTATGATTTTGAAAAAAAAAATTAAAAGTTTAGGTACTAAAACAATCAAAATTGATAGTTTAAGTATTAAATGTGTAATTTACCCTAAAATTAACATCCTTCAAATCTATTCAATTTTAGGATGTTAAAATTTTAGTGTTTGTTGATAATTTTCTTATGCGCACACATCATGCAAATGTAATTGTTTGAACCTAAGTCTTTTAAGGAGAACAATATTCTCTTTTACCACTAAAATCATTCAACGTGTTCTATATTATTTTAATATTGTGAGTTATGAGTACTCAAATAATTATAGTTGAGCATTAATATATGAAAAAATTAGAGACTAATGTGGGAAAAATAATAAACAGTCAGGACAGGAAGGGATAGTTCATATTAAAAATACAAGTTTAAGGACTAGTGTTGTCCCAAGAAACTTAAGAGACCGACGTAGGAAAAGTAATCAAATTATGGACTAAATCAAGTTTTATTCCTATAATTAATTGTTAAAAATCTAAAGAAATAGATACAATCATAAACACAATAGGAACGATTAGAACTTATTGTACTGACCTAACTTCAAAAATCTTTATATGATTCTAACAAGTTGCTTCAAGCTCATAGATTCGAACAGAACAGTTGTGTTTATAAAATGTGTATATTATTAATAATTAAAAAAATTGAACTGATATTATCTTATAATCAATTCAGATTATTCAAAAATATACTTAATGAAATTACAACGATATATAATATTAATCTATTATTTTAGACAACATCATTCAAATATCGTAAAATGATTTCCAACAAATAATATTAAATAAATTATTCTAATATTAAATAAATTATTGTAATATTTTACAAATAATATTATTATTTTTTAATAAATAATATTATTTATTGTATTTGATCTTTATAATAAAGAATTTAAAAAAAAAATACCAACAAGTGGAAAATAAATTACACAACATCATCCAAATATCGTAAAATGATTTCCAGAAAATGATTTCTAGGAAATATAATTCATTTACGGAATTTATTTTTCAGAATCTGTTTTTAGTTAAATAAACGAACCTAAATTAAATATTAACTACCAAGTATATAATAATCAATAATAATTTTTATTATTAATTTAAGTAAGGACAAGACAATATATGTTTAAAAATAACTCTTAATCATTTGATATTGAACTTTCACACTCTAATATTCTTGATGCTCAAATTCAGGACATCAAAAAATAATAACAATTCATTTGCTATTGAGGTCGTTTCACTCTATGAATCAATAATTATTATTAGAAATATGAAAATATGCACGACTATCAAGTAAATAAGAAACAATATTAAAGGATAACATTAAGAAGGGTAAACTACACGAGTGACCACCGAACTATGGTCAAAAATCATTTTGACCACTAATGTTTCAATTTGATTAAAAAGATCACTCAACTATTTAATTGGTTCAATCAAGTCATTGGTCGTTAGTTTTTAAAGGAGGTGATGTCACGATAGTTAATAAAATTAGCATAATTATATATTTGGTCTTTAATATTTACACATTATATCAATTTAGTCACTATTTTAATTCAATTAAATAAATTTAATCCTCCAATCAGGAAGTATCACGTGCCACTGTGCAAAGGGAAATCAAAATATGCTAATATGCTTTGTCCGTGGGCATGGCCTTACCACTAGGCTAAGCCACTCTAATGGTTTTAATTTGCACAATATTTTATATATTGTGTTTGAGTTTATTTCACATATATATATATATATATTTCACATATATATTAAATTATTAAAATGAATTTAATAAATAAATTATAGTTCACATATATATTAAATTGTAGTTAATGTAAGACTTAAAAGTATATACAAGTTTAATATTTTTTTTATTTGGATTTTCTAAATAATTTTAATATAATTTTATTTTTAATATATATATATATATATTATTTTTAAAAATAATTGTAAAAAAATAATTTATCAAAAAATATTAAAATCATTTTTATTTTTAAATCTTACATTAACTACAATTTAATATATATGTGAAAGAAATATATGTCACCTTTTTATATTATAAATTTACTGGATAAAAATTTCTTAGTTTTACAAGTTAGACTATATCACACTTTTCTAGTAAAATATCATTTACAAATAGTAGTAGGATAAAAATTTTGCCCAGCGAACTTTTTATGCACGGGCTAGTCAACTATATTTTCCTTAAATCCAAAAGAGGTCATGGTACTATTGTCAGGATGCTTCTAAGAATCATAAATGGAATTTCTAGTAAAAATTTTGTTTTGTTATAAATATAGAATATGTCGTAACTTTTATAATCTTTTAAAAATAAATATTTGAGGGTTAAGTTTATTTTAATTTATTAAAATTAGGACCAAATTGATAGAATATATAAGTAACAGTGACCGAATGCGTAATTATACCAAATATTTTAACTGCCACATTAGCTTGTCAGTTAAATATTAACAGCAAGTGGCTTAACTAAATGCATTTAAATAGTTGAGTGACATGATTGACACAATTTCAAAAATATTGGTTAAAATGAAAAAGGACAATAGTTAGGTTGTCACTGGTATAGTTTACCCTTTATTTTAAATAATTTATCTTTAAACTTTTAATTAATTCATAATTATTCGTTGAGTCATTTAGAATTTAATTTTTTATAAATTAAATTAATAATGTTCGTCGTTAGTAGTGCTTATCGCTGCTCGTCGAACAGTATAGAATTTTCCTTAAAGGAGTACACTTTGCCTTCCTTTGACATGTCTGCTCGTGATCTATACTTGTAGAGAAAGTTTGGAGTTGGTTTCATCAGAAAACATTTTTAATTAATTTAATTATAAGATTAATTCCAACTGATATATATGTTACCAACAGTAATTTTAGGTTAATATTCATAACATAATTTCAAAATTTAAATAGCCACTGTGACAAAACAGATTTTTAAATTAATCTGGACGCATTTCTGGACTATATTCATCTTGTCTTGTCCAGACATTTTTTTTAATTTTATTATAGTAGTTATAACAACTAATTTATCAATTGTTAATACAACTATATGTTGCTGATTTTTATACGGATTTTGTGTCTTGCTCCCCATGCCTATAAATACCTACCAAGTTTTCGTTTGCTATCAATAAAAAAAAAATACAATTTGCTTACAAAATAAAATTCTTTCCTATAATTTCAATTATTCAAAACCTTTTGAGAATTTTCGGTATTAGAGAAGAGTAATATCACCTCTTGTCCAACTCCGTGTTTTCGGATGTACGAATCTTAGAGAGATTATACTACGATCGTCTATTGTAGAGATTAGATACATTGAGACGGATTCGTTTCTATGCTAGAGCGATTAATATCAAGGCACAATTATTCAATTCCTTGTTTATTTATTTTATATCAGTCTATTTAAAATATTAATGAAATGACCATCCAGTAGGGGTGTATTCGGTTCGGTTCGGTTCGGTTTTTTACCAAAAATTGAACCGAACCGAAATAAACGGGTTTTCAATATTTAAACCGAAACCGAATAGTTAAAAAACCGAAAAAACCGAAACCGGTTTTTTCGGTTCGGTTCGGTTTTTTTAACGGTTTGAGTTTTTCGGTTCGGTTCGGTTCGTTTATCGGTTTTTCAATAAAAAAATCACTTGAAACTATAATTTTTTTTACAAAAATTGCCTATTCGGTTCAATATGGAACAAATGAGTTCCATATGGAAAACCCGAACTGAACCGAATCAAAAAAATGAAGCCTTTAAACCGAACCAAAAACCGAACGTTTAAAGCCAAACCGAACCGAACCGAACCGTTTTACTCGGTTCGTATCGATTTTTCGGTTTTCTCGATTTCGTTGCTCAGCCATACCATCCAGCTTAGTTGGTAGAGCATAAGGCTCTTAACCTTGGGGTAGGGTATTTCATAATTTGGAGGTCTCTTACGGAAGCTGCTCTCAACTTGGCGTTGGGGGCAGCCTACTATCCTATCTCTCCCTACCCCATTACATATGGGTATAAGGTAACTAATTTTATTTAAAATATTAATGATTTCATTTTATAAGTTCTACTTTATTAACAAACATCTCTTATTGAATAGTTTACTTCCACATCAGGCTCTCTTCTCCCTGTTGTAGCAATACCGCCCCCCCACTGCGAATGGAGTAGCTGATAACCCAGAGTGGAGGAGCTCTATTTGCGGAGCTAGCGTGGAGTCTTCTTCACACATTTTGCGTGACTGCATTATTGCTCGGGATACCTGGAGGGCGGTAGTATGATTTTTGATCGAACCTTTTGTGCGACTGAATCGGTTCTGGCTCAGGGTTTCTGTCTCCAGCCTGAAGTCGTCCATTTGCTGGCGATCTGATCTTTGTTTCAGGGTGACTCCACCCCTCTGAATCGCAATGTTGCTTGGCGATCTGATCTTTGTTTCAGGGTGACTCCAACCCTATCTCAATTTGGTTAGTTGAAGAGGGCAGTTAAAGGCTACCTTCAATAGAAGCACGTTGCATGTCTTCTCCTTAATTGCTTTCTCCACACGCTGAAGAACTTAAAAATTCCATAAGCCAACTGTTGACGAAAACGGGTAAAGAAAACGAAAGAACACGAGAATTTTACGAGGTTCGGCAATGTGCTTACGTCCTCGGTGCCTAGGCGGCGCTAGAATTTTATTCAATGATCTTTTAGGTCTAGGTTACATCTCTATTTATAATAGAAAACCCTGGTACATAATTACAAAATCAATCCTGTACCGTACCGCGGGGCTACGCCCCCGCACCCTCAACCCACATAATTTGTAACCCCACAACGAGACTTTCTTTGTAAGGACAGTTGATGTTCGCTCCGCTCCATCTCCTGTCCTCTTTACTGATATATTTATGAGCCATACCTAACACCAACCTTTGTGTTTTATCCCATATCACAAAATCTTTTACCTTAGGATTTGTGACAAGGAGATCATCACCAACAATCTGCACTTGTTCACCAATTTCACTGGTCAATTTTGCGTAGTCAAACGGATCCTCGATGGAGACGACGATTGGATAATCAGTCACGAACGACTTATAAACGTTCTTCAAACTGTAGCCTGAAATTCTTTGTGATCCATCATGGTTCTGCAGCAACAGTGCTTCGATAAGCAACCAGTTTACCTTTAAATTAAGTGAAGATTACAAGAAACAGGCAGATCCAAATGAAATAGACAGACATATTTACCTCTTCCTTGAAATTCAAGTCATAGGTTTTATCCTTGATATCATAAAACTCTGAAGCAGCAACATCCATTTCAATTACAACCAAGATATATTGCACATTAAAATCTGAGCTCCGGCACAGCAAGACATTTCATTCTAAACATTTGCTCCATTAATAAGATAAGTGAAAGGCCTTCATTCTAAACCTACAACATAAATTAGTTGGTTCATAATAATAAAAAAAATCATTATGGACCTGAATGTTAGGAGCAAAGCCACCTTCATCACCAACATTGGTAGCATCTTGTCCATACTTCTTCTTTATAACAGCCTGAGAGAGCACACAAGCGAAGACAAACTTCAAGTAAAGGGAACACGAGCAGCAATGGGAGTTGGAAGAAAATCTACCTTCAGGTGATGATATACTTCTACACCCATCTTCATGGCTTCCTTGAACGAAGATGCCCCGACCGGAAGGATCATGAATTCCTGAACAAGTACCAAGCAGTCGAAGACTTCAATGAAGAGAAAGGGCATCAAATCATCCTTCACAAAATTTTAGCGACTATACCTGCATTGCTAGTTTATTGCCTGCATGGGAACCTCCATTGATAACATTGAAAGCAGGTACAGGCAAGACTAAGGTCTTGTTTCCGGCAAGGTTGGCAATGTGCTGCAAGTTAGAAGGTGCAAAACAAGTTAATCTACAGAAAATAAATTAGGAGACATATCAAACAGGTCAAGACAACGGCATGATGCATGCCTGATAGAGGGGAATCTTCTTCAACATAGCTCCTGCTATGTTAAAGTGACGGCGTAGATTTTCAACTTATGAATTTTTGAAAGGGTAAATTACAAATTTACTCACTAAACTCTATTCTCTCTCCTATTCCACTCACCATACTTTCAATATTTTCAATTTGCTCACTAATCTTTAGACATTGAACTTTTTTTATCACTCGTTTGATGACATGAATTATTTTATTATTTTATCATATGATATGTAATTTTTTATTAATATTTTAATATTAATTAGGATTATAATAAAAACTAAATATTAAAATATACATCCAAACCTTAAAAACCTCCACATTCAAGTTTCAATGGTGGGTGGGTTAGCGTGCCGGTGGCTACAATCGTGGTGGCTGTCATAGTGGTTTCCGGTGGTTGTTTTTGGTGTTGAATCATTGATTAAATCCAATTATTTTTTTTCCTTTTGATGTTGAATCATTGATTTCTTTGTTGGAATTTTTATTGTTCTTGGGTTAATTCATTGGTTGTGTTGAGAGAAATGAACTAGAGAGTGAAGGGCAGAGATGAGCGTGATCGTTCACCGGTGGGAGGGTGATCTCCAGTGGAAGGGAACTTGCCAAGGGTGATAGTAGGTGAGGTTGTAATTTGGGGATTAGATTTGGGATATAATTTGATAAGTTAGGTATAATTTAAGGGTGTAATTGTAATTTTAAAATTTATTTTTATTTTAATCATATTTTGTGTTAAAAATATTAATAAAATATGACACTTCATGTGAGAAAAATAATAAAATAATCCACATCATCTTAAAGTGAGCAAAAAAATTCAATGTCTAAAGTTTAGTGAGCAAATTGAAAAACAATTGAAAGTACAATGAGTGAAATAGGAGAGAGAGAGTAAAGTTTAGTGAATAAACGTATAATTTACCCTTTTTGAAATATGTTTAGATTTAATTTACATTAATAATCTAAAACTTCTATCAAAATTCTAATAATAATTTTTAAATTACTCATAAAATTTATTTATTTATTGAATTAAATTGAAATAAATGCAGATTTGTACTCGTAAATTTGATGAAAAAAAAATTAATTTATAAAAGTATAAATAAATATTATCCTCAACGTTTTATTTTAGGGTAAAAATATTTTTAACGTTTAATCAAATAATCACTTTTAATCGCTTATTAATTAACATGAACTAAAAGATCTCGGTGGTAAAGGAGTTATTATTTCTTAAGGTCTCGAGTTTGAGCACAAGAAATACAGAGTGTATGAGCATTCAATGTCAAATAATTGATAATTATCATTGAACATAGAGTATGTTTTTCTTACCCGTATTAATAAAAAAATATTAACTAATTGTTTCAATTTATAGAGTGACATTTTTTGTGCTAAAATAAACAGTCGAAGGTTAAAAAGATTAAAAAAGAGAATCAAAGTGACTCTTTTAGTTTTAAACAAATTAAGGACGGTTAAATGAGTGAAGAGAAATGGATGAGATTAACAATATAAAATGACAAGATATTCCCCGAAAAAAATGAGTTAATCTTAGACATATATTTTCAGTCATCCAACAATCATAAATATGTGTAAAAGTAAAAGAATTTTATATCGTATAAGTAGATCCTAACTTATATATATTCATGTTTTGTTACTTATGTTTCTTATATTTAAGTAATAAGAATGTAATCAACTAGATAATTATTATATTTTCATACAATTATATTAGTGTTCAAACGTATTAGTATTAAGAGTAAATTACGCGTTCAATATCTAAACTATCAGTTTTAGTATGATTTAACATCTAAAGTTTTAAAATTTCAAACTCAAACCTAAAGTTTAGTTTTTGTTTCAATTTAATACTCGCCTTTAAAAACTTTAGTTTTGTTTCATTTTAGTATCTCGTTCAAAATTTAACGTTGAGTTTTGAAAAAATTGAAAGTTTGGGTACTAAATGGTCCGAAATTGATAGTTTAGGTACTAAATGTGTTAAATTTTTAACGGTGGGGTACTAAAATGAAATAAAAATTAAACGTTAACTATGATTTAAAAAAATGAAAGTTTAGATATTAAAAAAGATCAAAATTGATAGTTTAAGTACTAAATGCTTAATTTACTATAGTATTAATTACAGTGATAGATTACTAAATCTATTGTAGTTTAGTGATTAGTATGCTAGTTAGGTCAAAGGCTTGATAAAAAATTGTCAAATTTCAAAACAAGTGTAGAGTTAAGGGGTTAAGTTGAAAAAATTATCAAATTTAAGGACTAAATGTTGCTTTATCTCAAAAATTAAAAGAAAAAATTAAAGGGGGTTGGAAGCATAAATACTAGATTTTGAGGGGGAAGATATGAGATATAACCAAGAATCCATAGAAGCAAAAGATGAAGGCCACAAAGGCATCCGCTTAACCAACTGAAACCGAAAATGGCGCTACGAATCCACGCTCCATCTTCTTTAGCTACCGGATTTTATCACCGCAACTTCATCTTTCCAAAACCCAAATTTTCTGTCAGATCGGAGAAACCAGCCGTCGACTCCGAGCCCAAAAAGCCCGCCGCGCCTGGCCGAGGGTTTGGCTCCTCCTCATCCACCGGTAAACCAACCGTAAGCAGCAGCGGCGGCGGCGGCGGAAGAGAAAAGAAGCAGAAGGGGAAAAGAGAGAGGGCGTCTATAATACGGCGGTCGCCGGTTGAGACACCCGCGTTTGTGAGCAAAGAAGAAGAGGCGAAGGCGGAGGAACAGAGGAAAAATGAGAGTGCTTTTCTACTTGCGTGGTTGGGGCTTGGTGGGATCATTCTCGTGCAAGGCATTGTTCTTGCTGCTTCAGGTGATTCTACAAATCTGATTTTAGTACTTTCTGTTGGACGAAATTTTGGATATCAAGGAAGTGTACTGTTAAGTAATTTTGTTGAAAATTGCGAAGATTATTGTGACAGAAAATTAGCTCATCTGATATTGTATTATACCTTTGATACTGCTGTATACAGGGCCGAACGCATAATTTTGTGTTAGGTGATTAACTTGTACTTAGTGGTGGAATTTGAACTTATAAAATTTATAAAATTTAAGAGGGGAACGAAAATAAATTTTCAATAGAAAAAATATAAAATATATATGATAATTTTAAATTTTCAGGGGAAAGACTGACGTCACCCGCCCCCTCGGTCTATCCCTGGCTGTATACCATGCTTAACTAGACCAACAGGCAACTCAGGGACGGATGCATATGGCCCCATAAGGGGTAAAGAAGGCTCTCGACATTGATATACTTCAGATACTTATTTGTGATATGTACTTTTAAGACTTTATGTAAATGGTATACTTTAGATACTTATTTGTGATATAATTCAAACCAAAAATACTAGTTTATTAGTAAGCCTTGCATATCAGGTTCTTGATCTAAGAAGCCTTAGCTCAAAGTATCTGATTCGATATATATGTAGAGATAAAACATTGACACCATACAAGTCTGTTTAGGTTTTTATACTTCAAAAGGAGGTATGTAAAGATTCACCAATTTGTATTTGCTGTGCTGGTTCAAGGTCATCATTTCTATGTACTTGCTTCATTAGAACACTGGAGGCTCTATACCTCTGATAAACGCAAAGTGATCTCATTTATGCGAAAACCGGAAACGACAAGTCGTATTTCCATGAAATTGTTCATGTCAAAGTATGAAAGCAGAGATGGACCGAGAGGGCGGGTGGGGGCAGTCGCTCCTTGAAAATTTAAAATTATCATATATTTTAGACTTGTTCTATCTATTTTCTATTGAAAATCTATTTTCATCTCCCCTAGAATTTTATAAGTTCGTCCCTTCCTAAAATTTTAGAAGTCCGCCCCTAACATAAAATCATGCCATTCCCTGTATGAAAGTGCTTTTCCAAGTAACCTATTAGCTGTTTTGTATTTACAGGCTTCCTACCAGAAGAATGGGATAAGTTCTTTGTGAAGTACTTGTACCCATCTTTCACCCCTACTGTTCTCTTGTTTCTTGCTGGAACTGTTGCATATGGAGTGTTGAAGTACCTGGAAAATGAGAAACTGAAGGACCAAAAGTAAATAGTTCGTTCGAATAATATTGTAAGTGGACTGCCCATCATGAATAGCAAGTGAGCATTTGTACATTTCTGCAGGCTATACTTTCTGTTTTGTGCTTTCCTTGTTAAGAAAATTGTATGTACTGATAAATGCAACTTAGGAATTTTCATGCAAGGAACATTAACCATCCTTATTAGTGATCTGCTCAAGATTGAAATTTGCAATTGTCACTGTCATTAACATCAGTTAATTGCTTGGCTTTGCATCATTTGTTTTACTAGGAGGAATGATGTCTGCTTCTTGACCATCGTAGGATATTTTGCAGTCAATGAATAGTTTGACTAGATGGATCCTTTTGCAGCCACTTTCATCATCTCCTTTTTTTCTTCTTTTTTTTAACCACCTGTATCCGACCGAACTGACTAATCCAGATAGCGTTTTGCATAGGCCCCTTGTGGGGATGATCCTTTCTATCCAGTTTGTTCCATTCGTAAACGCTAGAATTTAAATTCGTGACCTTAAAGGATCTAATGTCTCATCCAACTAGATCATCTGGTTGTTAGTTTCATCATCCCTTAATGTATTATTTGGAAGCATTATCTACTGATTGTATGATTAGGTCTCATTAAAACACTCAAATCATACCAGTTGTTTGATTAGGTCCGGTGGCAAATCCACAGCTTCTCAAGACGTGTCCGACACGTGCCTTCTTTGAAATCCGAATTTTCTTCGATCAATTACTTATTTATTTGGTTGTTTTTATCTTAAAATTTTATATGTATTCGTCTCATTCAAAAATTCTATGCTGTGAACATGTGTTCACCTTAAAAAAATATTTTTGAATCCATACACGACGAGGTCTCGTCACTATTGAACTCGAGATGCTGCTGGAAAATTCATAATTTATGCTCATCACTATTGAACTCTTTTACAAGCTCTCTTATTTCCCATAATTTCATATTGACTGGTACCATTTTTCTTAACTTATCCTGTTCATAGATCTTAGCATAAAAGTGAAGCTCTATTCTTCTTTGCCCTTTTATTTGGTGGACTTTGTTGATTGACACATAATTTTGCATTTATGTTGGAATGGTCATTTTGGTAAATGGGCATCCAGTGGTCTTATATTGATGTGTTTTTGGACTTTTGAGACGAGCATTAAGAGAATGATTTTCCCAACAATTTATGAAAACATGTTTAGATTAAGGGTAAATTATTCGTTTAGTTTTATTTTCATTTCAGTACCTCGTCATTAAAAATTTAGCGGTGCTATATTTTTTTATAGATAAATTGCATCATTCATCACTCGACTATCTTCTCACTCTTATTTTGGCACGAAAGTTTGAAAGTATTCAATTTAATTACTCAACTTTCAAATTGTTCATATTTTAATCACTCTAATTTATTTTATTAATATTTTTTATGACATGACATTTATTATTATTATTTTACTAATATATAGTTAAAAAAAATAAATTTGAAAGTTAGGGGCTGTTTGTTTGCCTCTTAATGGAACCATTCAGCGTTAAATGCTGAACCGTTCATCATTCAGCGCGTTTGTTTTGCACCTCTGAATGATTAAGTGCTGACTGATTCAACAAAACAGTGCTCAGCACAGAAGTACATTCTGAATGATTCATAGCCATTATCAAAAAGCTTGTCACATTCAGAGTTAATTCATACAGAGCTTCTAAATCATTCAGCGCTTAATCATTCAGCGTTTAATCATTCTGAAGTAAACAAACAACCCCTTAGAGTGATTAGATTAAGAGTAATTTAAAAGTTAAGTGATTAAATTAAAAAAATTAAACTTTAGTGACCAAAGTAGGTGTGAGAAGATAGGTAAGTAATGAACGGTGCAATTTACCCATAAAAAAGATGGCACATGCAAATTACCCTTTAAGTTTTTAACAGCGAGGTACTAAAACAAAATAAAAACTAAACGTTAGATATGGTTATGAAAAAATTAAAAATTTAGATACTAAAACTAATAGTTTAGGTACTAAATACATAATTTACCTTAAATTAATGTTGGTAATATTTCTTTTGAATAATTTACATCAATCGATCAATAGATATATGTTTGAAAAAGGATAATTGATCTTTTAAATATTTGTAGGATAAAAATGAAAACAAAAGCGCTTCAAGCCCAATTACTTACCCTAATGCTTTAGTTTTCTCAATTGAAGATTTTATTTTTTCAAATTCATTAATTTGATTTGAAGTTTTTAGGATAATATTTAACTTTACATATACGAATTAAATGATGTAAGTGGTTAAAGAGACGATAGATATCATTACATGTACCAAGTTCAAACACCAACGACTGTAGGGTTTGATCGTTTGTTGTCAAATAATTAAAAGTACTTAGAACATATATAATCACTTGCAATCACCCTAGATTACTCGCACACAAAAAATAACTTTATATATTCCTTAAAAGTTTTTCACAAATCTTAAGATATAACCCTATCAAGAACAAATAAAGAAGCAAATTACTCCATCCGTCTAACTAAATGTGTTACTTATCGACTTTTTAAAGGTTAATTGTTTTTAACTTTGACCATGATTATTTTAAATATTTTAAATAATTAAATTTTATAAAAAATATATTTGAAAACTACTTGATTTAAGATTTTTAAAATATATATTTTTTCATATTTTTATCAATAATAAATTTTAAATAATAATATGTCAAAGTTTAAAAAAAATTAACCAAAAAAATTAACAGTGAACAAATTTAATGAGACAGAGTGAGTATAAAATAACCCTTACAATATTAAGCTCACACCCAATAAAAGAAATACGGGGGAAAATCAATTATAATGAATATTCACACATGTTTACGTGTTTAGGGTGGGCACGTGTTCACCCTGAAATCTGATTTTTTTTTTATATTAATTGTACATTTTACTATAAGTATTACCACCTTGGAATTTTATTTATATTCGTTTCATACAAAGATTTATATAATTAATACAGGTGTGTCAACCCTTAAAAATATTTTTAAATCTATTAATAATTAGAGTTGTTTTGGAAGTAAAAATCGAGTTGTTGAAGACATGAAACTAATAAATTTAAGACTTTATACGAGACTATCAATACTTTTGAAATGATATTGTAACGTCCTCAAGTTTCCGAATTGAAAAATTATTTGAATCTTGATGATAAAAAATTGATAAATTATTATTATATTAATTTTAATTATTTTAGATCAACTAGTTCTTGAATTGTTATAAAATTAATTATCAATAATATTTTTATTATTAAGAATGAAGCTTTTATTAATATTAATAATATTTATTATTCATTGTGAATAATAATATTTATTTATATTTATGTACTTTTTTTGAACCATGGAATGCCACCATTTTATTAATAATAAAAACCAACTAAAAAAGTAAAATAAAAGGTTCAAAAAGTAGTAATGGGCTGTTTTTTACTGTTGAATGTAACAATTCAGCGTTGAATGTTGAACCGTTTAACATTCAGCATGTTTGATTCTTACATCTAAATGAAGATTGTGCTGAATGATTCAGCAAAACACGGCTGAATGATTCAGCATTAAAGTACATTTTGAATGATTCATAACCATCATCAAACAACATGTCACATTCAGAGCTAATTCATACAGACCATTGAATCATTCAGACCATTGAATCATTCCGATTTAATCAAACAGCCCCTAAAGGAACAAAACAAGAAAAACGATGGTTGGCCTTCCTTCCTCTGCAATCTCAAGATGAATAAGTTTCGTGAATGAATCACAGAAAGGAAATGAAAAAAGAAACAGAATTGACCCTTGTAGCGATTCCAACCTCAAGTTGTGCTACTATAGAGGTTTAATCCAACGTCGGTCCTCCGCCGCTTGGTTCTCAACATACACCGGTCCATCTTCCACCCAGTATCTATCTTCTTCACCCAACATTTTGTCTGCTGCAAACAGAAGAGCGATCAGATTACCCGATCTGGGAGTAAATCGATACATGTAGGTATGAAAAGAAATTGTTTTCATCTTTATATCCCCTATCCAAGTGCTCTGGTTGTCCGGATTGTAGTTTATTCATGATTGTTCGAGAAACCTTTGAGAATGATTCTATGAAAACCCATGTATGTTGTAAATTCCACCGCGTGCTTCGCCGCCAACGCCTCATCCATGAACGGTGAGTTTACATTCTTACTAGATTTCCGATGAGCACCCAAAATAAAAACCCCTTCATCTCTAATTATTATTCCTGACTTTGTTTCTCTTTTGGTTTGGTCAAATCGAGCGTCGAAATTCACCTTTACTTCGGGATGTGAGGGCGGTTTCCAACGAATAACTACCTCTGAGGTTGTGGCTTGAATACGAGCATTTGCTTTGGAGTAGTTTGCGCACTGAGCTCGAATAGAGGTAAATAACTCCTCACTTCTAGTTAATTTACCTTTATGCAAAAAACTATTTCAAGCATACCATAACAACCAAATGGTTATCATTATCTTTGCATGTTTTGATGTATGATTGTGATGGAATAACCACGATAACCATTCAACAAAATCCAACGTTGCAATACTTGGGGGGCCAAACATAACCCAGGGCTTGCCATACTTGTGTAACTAATAAACAATCTCTTACCACATGAACACCAGTCTTGATGATTAATGGACATTTTGGGCAATACTGATTATTCGAGATCCTTCGCTGATACAAATTGTAATTCGTAGGTATAAAATTGAAAATAAATTTCCAAATCTGTAATTTTACCTTGCGTTGGCACTCACAAGCCCATACAATTTTCAACACCTCTCCATCCACCGGAGTAGAGTTATCAGCGTCCAACAACAATTGATAGGCGCTCCTAATGCTAAATAAGCTTTTTTTTCTCCTCCCCAAATTTGAATGACATTATGATAAAATTGGCTAATGGGAATCCCCATTACCTGGTCTGCTTCTTTGTCAATAAAAATTTAAAGAAACCAAATCCTCTTTCCAAGTCCTCGATTCCTCTTCAATGAAATCTGAAACTCGTTCCACCCCATTAAATTGGGAGGATTCAACCCTGCATTGTCTTTTATTTGGCAACCAATAGTCATTTAAACTGATATGGAGCGACTATTACCCACTTTCCACCGAAGCCCCTTTTACAATAGTCCACAAGCACTC